TTTTTTTTTCCCCTACAGGGGGCCGGGGTCCCGGGTGCCGACCCCCGGAACCCCGGAACCCCGGCGGGGTCCCGGGGCCGGGGTTCGACAACCCTGGCAGTGCGTGCCGTGCCGATCCGGCACGGATTGGCTCCGGCACCACCGCCACCAGGGATCCCGGGCAATCTGAAAGTCTGTTACACAAGTCACCAACCAGGTCACATAGCCCGGGATTGCCCGCATCGCCCCCCGCAACAACGAGTCGGAGCCGCACCGGTGGCTGCAACACTGATCGCTAACGGACTAGGACGGGTAGGACCTTTGATGGAAGAAGTAGAGGGAAGCGGAACCACGTTAGCAACAATGGAGGAAGCTGCAAAGCTTATTCCATTAGATCAGTATGTAACACTGGGATATCCGGGGCTTGGGATGATTGGTACGATTAGACCCGCGCCTGAACAACGAGAAGTAGCGAAGTGGCGACCTTCTCCAGGAGAGATGGAGTCGGGAGGACCCACTTTCGTCGCGGGGGAAATCGATGTTCTAAACATCGTACAAACATTAGATCACCGAATCTCCCCTCCAATCGATCATCTGCTTTCGATATCAGAACAGGCCAACGAACGAATGTTGCAACACTGCAAAGCAAATCGGAAACGGTTTGCTCTTACCTGGGCAGCGAACACAAAAACGAAAGGACCAACACCAGACGAAAATGCTGCATGTACTTCTGATCCCATACGCATAGAACTAATCCAAAAAGATGATCACTTCCTACGGATTAAACCCATCCCATGGAAATCCGCGGAATGTGACATCGAGGTATGGGGAATTCCATATAATGCTATCATCGATTCGGAAGCCGCTGTGTTAGCTATCTCCTTGCGGGTAGTGGAGAGAGCAGGAAGAAAGAACGATCTGATCATGCTTATAGAAAAGGATCAGCTCGTCTCTGTAGATGAAGAGAAGATCAAAACGGTGGGACGAATGACTAACGTTGCCTTTCGATTAGGGAAGGTACATGCGTTGGGAGACGTCGTAGTTCTAGATGTCAATACTTACGACGTACTTTTTGGCCTTCCCGCCCTGGTAGCACTGCGCGCCAATCTGGACTTTGAAAGACGATCAATTGTCCTCCAAAATACGGGAGGAAAACCCTATGTTGTGCCGATGAGACTGACTCTTCGTACTACCTTTAACATAGCCCCGCAAGTTTTCCCCGCGATGATAATGACTCTTCGCGTGATTACCTGGGACAACGGGCAGACATCCAAAGACACGGACAACAGTGATGATGACGATCCAGTAATCCTGGAGATAGCGCAACAACGTATTCACTATCCCGTGCAATGGACAAATGTAGAAGTCTTGAGCCGGACTAACCTAGATCTACAGAGAACGCAGACAATGATTATGGGAGAACCTCTCGTACAGATTTCGAGGATGGTCGATTCTTTGGAACCCCCTCGAACCCTATACGAAGGAATCTCGCCTCTACTCGCACGATATGAGGACAAAAAACATTACTGTGATATCACGAATCTCCCGAGATCCCTTTTGACACCTGCAAAAGAGATTCGATTGTTACGCTTAGGGGCAAAGACCAACTCTTTGAAACCCCCTGAGCGCCTCGAAAACGGACTCGGGATCAAGATCGCAACGAAACCTGTGTCGTGGCAAGACATTCGAGATGGAGTAACACCGAAGGAATCCGTGGCCATTCGAGAACAAGATGCACAGATGATGGCCACGGTGTTTTTCTGGCGATCGGATAACTCATTCATCTCCGCGCCCCCGCCAGAGAACACCAAGCGGGTGAATACAAAACACATCGATGTAAGGATATGGGATGAGCTGTATGAGTTGCACGTACCCCGATACGTACCTGAGGGGATCCACCACCTAATTGCAGACATTCTAAAGGAATACAAAGGAGTGATTAGTGTGACGGACACAGACATTAAACTGTCGTTAGTTATACAGCATGAGATCCAGACAGGAAACCATTCCCCAATTCACTGCAAACCTTACAGATACTCACTGGTAGAACGGAAAAAGGCTCTCGAGCTGAATCGAGAATTTGAAGCAAGCGGTTGGATCGAACCCGCCACCGGACCATGGTCGTTTCCGGTAGTATTGGGACCGAAAAAGAACGGATCGATTCACATATGCATTGATTATCACAAACTGAATGACATCACGATCAAAGATGTGTATCCCCTCCCCCGGATTGATGATTTGCTGGATGCGATTGGGTGTGCTAATTACTTCAGTAAGTTTGATATTCGACATGGCTTCCATCACATTCTGGTCAAGGAGGAAGATCGACCGAAGACGGCCTTCGTACTGTTTGAAGGCACGTGGCAATGGGTTYGRTGCCCGATGGGKATTTGCAACGCGCCYSCCACGTTTCAGYGGRYGATGAAYGTGACGTTTCAKAACTTCGTCAACAAGACGCGGCTCACTCAGGGGATGATTAACTTTTGCGTCATTGTGTACATGGACGACATCCTCGTCTACTCGGAGACCTATCACGGGCATACACAGCACATCGAGTGGACGTTAGGAGCTCTGAGAGATGCTGGGTTCAAAATCGCGCTCGAAAAAAACGAGTTTTTCCTTTCGAAAATTTCGTTCTTGGGTTACATGGTGACACGTGGAGGACTGCGGCTAAGTGGCAATGTAGAAAGCTCTGCGTGTCGATCAATTAGAGAAATCGACACGTGTCATGATTCAAGCAAGCAGGAGCTTGCTTAAGATTGGAACCTCCTGGGCGTCACATATGTGACGAACCGATTTCTGTTCCGCGCGATTTTTTGCGCGATAGCAATGAGGTGTCCTAAGCTGGGAAGGATGGGCCAATTATGGGAGATCGGGATTGAAGGGAAATTGCATTGGTGTCCTCGTTTCTTCATTTTTTTTGTGTCGTCTTTGTTCGGATGATTGGGTGCAGCGTCGGGCGAGTCCCGGGATGATCGATTGAGTAACTGTCGCGCCGACCAGGCGCAATTAATAATGGTTGACGTCGCTTTTTTTCTGTGTTGTTTTAGGATTTAGGCGCGGAGGTCGCGCGGGAATTTTGTTTCGTTCTTTTTGAATTTCTTTTTCGAATCTTGTCGAGCCCTTGACAACTCTCGGAACTTCGGATTTTCTTTTCGGAATTTGTGCTTCTTTTTGCATTAGCTAGAAATTTAGGAATTTAGGAACTCGGGATTTCTTTTGCCGCGCAACGCTTTTTGCTTACGCGCTTCTTTTTGCGGCTGCAACGAAACTCTGATTAGTCGGCGCCGTTAATCGTGTGTGTAACTTTAATTTTGGGTGGGCACCATTGTAACTGTATTTTTCTTCTTGAACTTTGTCTTTCCCATCCTCGCTTTTTCTCTTGCTGTGTCTAGCTAGCCCGCGGCCTGCATGCTTGGATCGATGCGTGGAGAGTGGCTACGGCCCCCACGCCGCGATCTGGCCATGCAGAACGCAGGCGCTCTCTCTCCTAATCTCCTTTCTAAGTCCTTGCAATTTCGTGTTCTTCGCGCATGCATGCACACTATAAATTCCGGCTGCGCGATTAGATAGCTCTCTTAACCAGCTGTTCGAAGCTCGGGGTAGCGCAATCAGTGAGGGTCGGCTCACGAGCGAAGTAAGAGGTGAGTTGAAGTGGGAGTCGGGCGACCCGACGAGCTGGTGCCGAATGCGCGGGGTTGACGCGTGGGGCTACGACGGACTGTAGCCCGCGGGCGAACCTGACGGGTGCAGGAGGACTAAGCGGGGTGACGACTTCGTGGGTTGGTGCATGACAACGGACTGTCCGCATCGGAAAGAGAGAGAGAGGAAGAGGGAGCTCAGGTTGATGGGTGTGGATTTGCAGTTTTCCTTGTCTTTTCTCCCTCTTTTTTTTGGTATAGAAATTTTGATCTCGGCTCAGGGCTATTCACCCGTCTCCTTTTGTTTTCGGAATCTTGGCTTGGTTTCCGCCCACACTCGTTTTGCGGTTGATCTCGATTTCGTTTGTTCCGTGTTTTGTTGAATGAATGGATGAATGAATGTCATGTTTGTTGTGTGTCTTTTTGCCTGATCCTTGCCTTTGCTTGTCGTTTTGATACACTCATGAGCATAGTAGGAATTTTTTTGTAGTCGTCAATACTGCTTCCATATATGTTTATCCCCTTTTGAGCTACTGTTGTTGGTGCACCTTGCATGTTCAGGAACGAGTGAGTACGGGATCACAGAGTAATTAGATGATTGGGTAGTGTTTGTCCAGAGACAAGCGAGTACCTCGCGAGGATGAGTGTAAGCGCGATCTGATCTGCGCAGCCTACACGCATCCACGCGCGCCGATTCGCGGCCCTTGGCGAACTTGACACCTTCGATATCAGGTAGGTGGGAACTTTCTCTTCCCCCACGTGCCTAATCGGATAGGAGTTTCCGATATCACATCGGAAAATCCCGTTGCCGATTAGACGCGTGCGGGAGGATTCCATCACACTGCAATGATAAGATGCCGAGCGCTTGGGATCCGGAGTACTTCGACCCTTGGGTGAGAGAATATATTAGGCAAAGATACCTGAAATTCCCCTGCCTAACCGAGAATCGGTTGTGCCCCAGGGAATTTCACTGTGCCACAACCAGCAATCCGAGGTGCCCCGATTATCCAACCACGGATAACTCGCACTACTTCATATCCCCTGGTTTCGACATTATCAGTACCCGTTTCCCTCCCTTCCGTCTTCTCCTCCCGTATCACCAACTCACGGTGGCTCCGTGTAATTCCATCGCCCCGTACTGGCCTCGCACGCCCTGCGGAAATTGCCGGCGACGTGGCGACCGACGAGCCCCTGAAACTAGAGGGCCTAACCAAAACGCGAGACGCCAGACGCCACGTGCCGGCACCCAAAGGACCGACTCATCGGGAACACAACTATCCCGGGCGGGCCTCTCCCCGAACCGCCACCGCCAAAACAGAGGGATCGGACGGCCTTGAAAGCACCGCGAATGCCATCTGCCTTATGCTCAACGACATAGAAAGCCAACAGACCGGAAGAAACTCACCATTAGCCCTATTGCATCTATGCCCCTGAAACTTTGCCACTGTGACAGGAGATCTCAGTTTCGACCTGGGACTCTAGCCCCACTTTACCAAAAATCCTTGGCACACCCCTTTTCGCACTTTCAGGCCCACATCCGACTCCGATCAGGAAGTCGCGCCGGGCGTGAGGTTTGGGCGTCACAGCACTCTGTGGTTGCCATGCCCCTTGCCAGCCATAAGGTGGAGGGGGGGGTATTAATTGGGTTGGTACGTCAGCATCAGTACTTGGTGTGCACCTGCCAGCGGAGCTGGCAGCGCAGGAGCCAGCGCCGGAGTGTGGTTCGCAACACTCGCTATTGGTGCCGATGCGATGGTGGCCGGTGCAGTTTGCATACCCGCTGGGAATTCCATCCAATAGCGTCGATGCCCCGACCACCTCCCTCGTCCTTGTCCCCTGCTGTACATATACATGTTGATGCAGAAGCCTTCACTTGAGTGGTCTTCAAGTGCTCAAAATGGAATGCCATCAGGTTGCCGATCTTCCGTACGCAAGTAGCCGAGTCTCCTCTAAGCGTTACCGAACGCGAATATAATCCACGTGTCACGAAATTATGAATATTAAGGGAAAAGAACATAGATGATAAAATAAATAATTAAATTAAATTAAACGAATTAATTACATGGAAGATCTCTCTCGGTGTCGTCCAGACTGCGGATATGCCACATGCAATGGCTGTAGCACCTCAGAACGCGTAACCTGAGAGGCACTAGCAAATCATTCCCGAACTTAACCACAAGGTCGTTTCGCTAGTTCAATGTGAGAATACACAAAGTAATAATGCATTCTGGAGTTTACTCTTGCATAAAATAATACATCAATATCTTAACACCATAGCCGCATCACACAGTCCTACTCTTCACTGCACAGACTGCTTACGGGCATTGCCCGTATCCTACTTTATACCCAGAAAAAAGCAATGTGCAGAGTCCCAGTAGGTCCCATGTCGACCCTAACCAAAAAATGCTTCGTCTCCATGGGTCACTCAGACTACGTCATCCAAAAATTGTCTTTTATGCCATCATGTCATACTGCAGACAATCTCTGCAGGTCCAGTGCATATCCAATTTCCAGTTCCTGATTGATATCCAAACCAGGTTCGGTGATTGATATCTAAACCAGGTTCGATAACTTGTAGCGTATGGACTCAGCACCTGGCCCATTGAATTTCGGCAGTCCTTCAAACGTTTTTTTACCTCAGTCACTCTGGGAGTTTGCACGTGCTTTCTTCTTCCCAGTCATGGCGGCTGCTCATCTCAGTGTCGCGTTGTTTTTTTGCCATATATTGCAGAGAGATGCCCCTACATCTCAGCTCAGAAACCATTCTCAACAAACTTCAAACCAGGACCACAGAAGATGCTCCATTTGCAGCAAACTTGAAACCAGGATCTCACGATGACGACGACGACGATACCGTGGACGGCCTTTGCGATTGTAGCTCCACTGCTGACAATGCAGCTACGAAAGATGATGCTCTTGCCGACAAAAACAACAACAACAATCACATAGCATGCAATAACAAAACCTGCAACAATAACAAACATGGCGATGGTATTCGTTGGGAAGTAAGTGCGATTCGCCTGTTTCTCTCCCCCCTCTTCTTCTCCTATCCCGTTTTCTCTCCTGCATGCCGTGGGCAACGATCGGGGTCGGGGCCGGGAGGGTTGGGTGAAAGCAAGTGTGATTCGCCTGTTTCTCTCCCCCCTCTCTTCTCTTCCTATCCCATTTTCTCTCCTGCATGCCGTGGAGAACGATCGGGGTCAGGGGCGAGAGGGTTGGGTGATTGGGATGTGTGGGGAACAGGAAGTGGGCGCGGGGATGTGGGGGGAGGGATGGTGGCGGGAAGGGGTAGGATAGGCAGCACTTTAATTGCATCGATGCTCCCCATCTCATGTGCGCTCACGGACCGTGAGGATCAAGGGGGGAGGCTGTTGTAGGTAATCTGATATGACTTTGTTCCTTGATCTGAGTATCTGTTTTACTTATGATGTGGTGAGAGATCTTGGCTTATCCACTGATTACAAGGATCGTGGGGGGTTATGACAATTCCGTAATAAACTAGTTTTGCCACGTGGCGGCGCAGAGGTGCAGAAAGGCGCAGTACGGATAGGTATCAGGATTGCCTAAGTGTAATTGTTGGGTTCGGCCAGGTGGCGCACTGGTGCCTCCTTGTTTGAGTGGATTTGAAGATCTTAAAGCTTGGGGGGTGACACTGGGGCAGGTGATCCTATAGTAGACTTTGTTATCTCCCACTCCGAATACCTCTCCCCGTTATGGTGTCGCAAACAGGGAATAGCAGATGATAAGGGTTTCGGAGGGGGTATCTGATTTTCATAGAGATGAGCAGTTAATCCCCTCAGCAGAGGGCAATCAATGCTGCTCATCAGGATATAGAGTGCCGCGTGTTGGTCCGGCTGATTGTGCATGGCCTTTTGTAGGATTGACACGTGGCGCGGTGACATGACTTCATAACTGTTAAGGAACGCTGGACCCGATTTCCAGCAGGTCCTGCTCCCCACCGATAGATGGAGCCTCCCCGAGCATGCTAGTGGTGTTTGCTCTTATCAGCACCACTAGCATTTACTTGGGTTGTTTTCGTCAAAAAAAAAAAAAGAAACCAGGATCTTTTGGGAAAAAATGGTCCAGGATCCAACATGGACTCACAATCATGGTGGGCGATCTCTGAACGACACATCCGCAATCCAAGGATCAGGACTACAGAAGATGCTGCATTCTCAGTGAACTTGAAACGAGGGTCTTTTGGGATGAAATGGATCCAAAACGGAATTATTTTGCTATGGTGGGCGATCTCTGGGATGAGACAACCGGACAACGGAAGTCACCTCCTAAGTTGAAAGAGAGTCTCGGAGACTGGGACAGCTGCAGCAGCAGAAGCAACCCGCCCTGGAAGTCATCTCATCCGAGTCCCCAAAGATTGGGCTGAGCTGATTGCCCCTGAGGCTGTCCCTAAAATGGGGACCTGGTTCAAGAAAGACATAGCAAATGAGAAGAGCAATTCCTGTGCCTAGTAGGGGGGGATGCTCAAGTACCAGGTAGGTGCAAACTCCTCAAGTTCATAAGATGGCGCTCACGCCCCAGGCGAACACTGGGGGGAACTCATCACAGAGAATTAAGAGGAGGCTGCGCTACGCATCGCTAGCGCCCTGGTACCCTGCGGGGGACCGGCTGAAAAGGCCCGGGCTGCTCTCCGCTCAACACGTCAAGGAAGGTAACCTGTCATTTGAAGTGGCCTTCACGTTGGACCGTCTGCAAGCCAGGTGGCGTGTGACGTGGTGCCTGTTTGAGAGGGGTGTGTCCGGTGGAAAGGGGTGTTACTAGGTGTGTGAGTTGCGGTGTGTGACATGGCATGGGTTTATTGAGGCTAGGTGGTGTGAGGGGCAGATGGAATGCAAAATTCTGCTTGGAGAGGAGCAGCAGGGCATCCCTCCTTCCCTGTTGCTCGAGGTGGAGCACTACATGATAAAGGTAGATATATCTCCAGCGACGAGGATGCTGGATCTCTATAAAAATCAATTGGCGGAGATGCTAGAGCTTCTGACCAGCGAACATGGAAGCCTCCCCACTAGAGCTCCTGCTGGAGAGTGAAGGGTTTCTTGATGAATGGGAAGCGGATATGATAACTAATTGCTGTTTGCATCCTCCACAACAACAAGACTGCCACCAAGTGATGCGGATGGCAGCAGATATGAAAGCGTGCCTCTTGCTTTTTTGAGAAGCTGCAGCCTACGATTTCAATGTGTCGGGCAACTTTTGATACGGACACAAGTAACTTACCTCGGCTTTGCGCTGGTGAGACGGTTCCTGGGGTTGAATCCCATTCCGAAGATGCCCCAGCACACAGCAAGCGAGGGTTGCCGCAACAGCAGGTCACAAGACTCACAACTATTCTAATCTGGACTGGGGGTTGCTCGGCCATACGAACGGCCCTCCGCCCGTATGAATAGCCTCCGTACGGGAGCGGGAAAACGGCAGTCCGAGGGGGTGGCGGGTGGGGGGAGGGGGCAAACGGCCCGAAAGAAAAACATGTTTTTCTCAGGGTGACAAAAAAAAATCGAAAAAAAAACATGTTTTTCTCGGGGTAAAAAAAAAAAAAAAAAAAAAAAAAAGGAGGGAGGGCCGCCCTATATCCTAGGGCGGTTCAACATTACAGCCCACATTCGTCCGTGGGCATCCTTTTCCGCTGCCCTCGGACGACAAGCGGGCGGAGAGAGAGAGACAGAGAGAGAGAGAGAGAGAGAGAGAGAGAGAGAGAGAGAGAGAGAGAGAGAATAGAACATTGAAAGGACACGGCCCTCTCTCGGGGCACTCATCGTGCCGCCGCGCGCCAGTGACTTGTAAAAGATGTAAGCAGTCTGCCGCGTCATCGCCACGGCGCACCAGTGACTTGTAAGATGAAACGCAAGGGACGCCGGGCGCCGTCCCAGCTTGCAATGATTACGCTTTTGGGAGCCAAAAAAAAAAGAAAAAAAAAGAAGTATGTACTAAGCTATAAGCACGGAGAACAAAAACAAAAGAATCATTCATTCCATTCATCGAGACCCATTATTACGATTCGAACTTAGGTCTGAATTTCAACAGTCTACGGATGTACCAGCAAAGATAAGCTCGTTGGTATTTTTATCACAATTTGATCATCTGTGACAAGAGCATCCGCTGCCCCCCAGAGCAGTTTCTCTGAGAATTGCGTGCCCATTCGTTTCAGCGATTTTGATTCGATGTATGTAGAAGTCGACTTTCTTATGGGATCGCCGCCCGCAAAATAATTCTCTCTTCTCTAAAATTTAGATCATTTCTCGATTTATGTCTGTCATGATTGCACAAGGGCGCGAGTGGGTTGTGTGTGGTGTGTGGGAGAGTGTTGGCCATAGCCTCTGCTGCTACTCGA